ATGGAATAGAATATCACTATTAATTATTTGTTTATGCTATTCATTAATCATGTTTACACTAATCATGTATTTACTATGAGATTATGATAACTTGATACTATTCATATGCTAAAATTGTGACAACTAAAAGGAAAATGTTGTTAAACATGTGTCAAACCTTTGAGCCTCATGAATCCCATGTTACACTTGTTGAGTACGACATGTGCTCACCCTTGCTATTTCCCCACACCCCAGACTTTAGAAAAGTTGCTCCGAAGATTGATGGAGTTACGGATGAGTTACCAGAAGACTGATAGAAGTGCTAGGCATATGATACCCCTAGTCGGCCATCCCTGTGAAAGATGGAGCCTGAAGATTAGCTATCGTTCCGTGATACTCTGATGTAAGTATTAAATATGAGTATATTTTCGTTATATAATAAAGCATTGTCTCTTGATACTATTGTAATTTGTCGGCTTATGTGTGTGACTGATCTCTAGGCGCACATAAGACTATGCATCCCATTTTATCCTTAAAATCGGGTGTGACAATCCGACATCACATCAAAGAGTTATGATTTTTTAAAAGTTCAGTCTTGTCATGCCACTCCCGGTGGCGCAAAAGAACAGTATTGTCACGCCAGCGGGAGTGGCAGATGTCGCCACGCCAATGTATGTGACGTGACAACATTATTTGGTCGCGCCAGCGGCACTAGCGCGACCAAAACGGTCAATTTTGCAAAAAAAAAAGAGGAGTGATTATTATTAAAATATTGAATAAAAAAGGATTAAAAAATCCCAAAATCTGCCAAAAGCGGTGGCTATATATATTTCCAAGCCCTCATAGCGCCTAAAGATCATTCAAGGACATCCCAAAAACCTCAGCATAAAGATCTTCAAGAAAATCGACTTAGAGGCAGATTAGCTTGCCAACCACCTCTAAAATTAATAGGCATTTTCTAGAGGCGGCTGCCAAAACTCGTTTTTTATAGACTATTTTTAAAGGCGGATTTTGATAGAGCCGCCTCTACCCAAAAAGGGTGATGCCTCTAAAAATAGACTGTGTAGTAGTGGCTACATGTGTAGGCTGCAACAGGCTTCTTCTACCGTATTTGTAGTTCAGAAGTTGCAGCAGCAGTGACAATTGATGAGTCTTGTTGCTGCAGCGAACACTTCCATTGTATCTATAGTATTAGAAAATTTCAATTTCTGCAAACAAAATTATAGCATACTCCTGTTAAGTAAAGGAAAAAATTAATAGTAGTATACAACCTGATGAGACATAGATCAATGTCATTTCATTCTTGTACTCTCATTAGATAATCGTTTAATGATTTTGCAAAAAAATAAAAAACGGATATCTACACTTAATACAGAGTGATGAAACAATATAACAGAAGCATAGGATATATAAACTATGCATATATTTGTTGTCCTACAGTACAGATTGATACTACAATTATAATCACACTCTTTCTGGGTACAAATTAAGTAGCAATAGGGACATGGTTCACATTACAAATCACCTGATTAATGCGGTATAAAATTATTGTAAGGTTTTGGCCTTGATCCAAAGCATTGACTTCTTTCTTAACGCTATCCCAAAGGCCTCTGCCATATCAAGTTCTTCCAACTTGACGCCATCGGGCAGAGCCCAATCAAAATGGTAAAGAAAGCTAGCAAGTGCCAACTCTAAGTTGGCCAGTCCTAGCGTGATGCCAGGGCATATTCTCCTACCAGCCCCCAAGGGAGTGAACTCGAAGTCATTACCCCTAAAATCGATACTGCTACTTTCAAATCTTTCTGGCTTGAATTCCTCTGCATCATGCCATAGTTTTGTGTCCCTTGCTATTGCCCAAACATTCACAAACAACTTGGTCCCCTTTGGCACATCGTAACCCATAACCTGACATGACTCACGACATTCTCGAGGGAGCAAGAGGGGCGCTGGAGCATGCAGCCGTAAAGTCTCCATGATCACCAGTTGTAGATATCTTAACTTGATCAAATCACCTTCATTTATCTTGTCTTGTCCTTTGAAGGTCTCCCTCACCTCTAACTGGGCCTTATGCATGACTTGTGGATTCTTAACAAGCTCTGACATTGCCCATACTAGAATGGTTGATGATGATTCACTCCCAGCAGAGAAAATATCCTGCAATACAATCTTACAGTTACAATTGTGAAATGGGACATTCACATTAATTCTCACGGGGCACGCCAAAAAATCTTAATATTCTAACAAAAAAACAAAAAGATCTGACCATTAATTTGGTAGACTCTAATCAGCATTGATAATAATAACTAGTTGATATATTTTATTTTTCTAAAGAATATCCATGTATATGATTATGAAAAAAACTAGATAAAGTAACCCGTAAATGTGCATATAATATAAACTCTACGATACCAAAAAAAATATTTAGTGTAATAAAATTTCATTTGCCTAATGCTAAATTAGAAACAAATTAGAAAATTAAGAATAAAGTATCATATGCATTGGAGGTTTTGCAGGAGTGTGGTGTCAGATAACTAGAAGATATCTCGCGCGTTGCTGCGAGGATTGCAAAGAACTTGGAATGAAACTAAGTGAAAATATCGTGAATAGCTTGCAATTAAGATGTTAGAAGTCAGTGGATGAGATAACTATTAGTGAAAGATGATATGGATATATAGTTATTGGTGGATGATCGATGTGGATGACTTGTATGTTGAGATAGACTTATAGTGGAAGATTATCTCTATATAAAAGTGGATCTTACCCAAATAACCGTGCTGACAATCTCGTCGGTTAGAGCGAACTGCAGTCCACCTTCCCTCTGCAGCCTCAGGAGAACACCCAGAAGGTCCTCGTCTCGCTCTGGCGTCGGCATGGCTTCACGCTCATGGATGATGCTCTGGATGATGCGGTACATGTTCCTCTGGCACCTCCTCAAGCCTGGTCTCTAGGATGTTGATAAGGTGTTTTTTAGAATCCCTATTTTATAGGAAAGAAAGACTTAAAAGGTAATTTTATATGTACTGTAGTGCCTTGTTAAACTCTGGCACCATGCTTGTCTTACCTCATATTCCCAAATGCACAAATAACAGCTTAAATATGTTTATTTGTTTTTCACCTGGTATTGATTCATATCAAATTCTTGTGTCGCAGGCGTTACTTCTTTCTGATCACCTTCAGGTCCTACCTATACAGCACAAGATCATGCGAAACAACATTTACATCATGGATGAAGGCAAGGCCTGAGCTTGGCCACCTTTGCGACAATCTAAAGCTGGACAAATAGGTTATCTTCATGTGGCGTGATTATGTAGTTGTGTCTCTTCCTTGGACAAATTCACCCAGAGCTTCAGAAAGGAAGGAGACTAAGAGCGGGTAGAGAGGAAGCAGTGGCTATGGGAGTTGTGGACAATGAAAGAGCAGCTTAGGCTGTCTGTTTTTTTTTTAACAGAAGCTTCTTTGACAGCTTTGATTTATGAGTTCTCTGGGGGTCGATATATGGCCGCAACCCTTTCTAGGAGTTGTATTAAGCTAATAGGATGAAGCTCCTCCTGAAACCCCCGTGTTGACTTGAGTTGATTCATCTGAAGTCAGTACGGCTTGTTATTGTTGAGTCGTATGCATTGATCTGTTCACCCTCGAGCTTAAGGTGACGCTGAGGCTATCAATCGCATGCCATGCTGTGTTATGGCCATAAGTTTTTGACCTTTGGATGAAAATATTCCGCTTTTCATCTAAAAAAAGTAAACCAACATGGAGTAACATGGTACATGTTCATTGTGCGGACAGAAAAAAGTTTGAGCTCCCTGGTCATCTTAGGTTGCTGGAAAGTGTGGGCGTACTAGCGCAACAAATCAATAAGCCCTAAACAAGATTAGAGATGAAGCGAGGCTTTTGAAAGCAACGGGGGCAAAACATCTAATGATCTAATAGCTCTTCTACAATTTTTTTTTTATATACCTTAGCTTTGGGGCATGGCCTTCTTTGTTGTTCTGGTGCTAACGCGTCTTGTACAGAGTTGTTGTGGCCATCTTTGGTCTTTCTCTTTTTACTATAACAGGCAACTGTTGGTTCGTTTTAAAAAATAAAGTAAAGTAATCTGTCAAATTTAAAAGCACTAATATTTATAATACCAAATTAGTGTCACACGATCACTTGATATGTTATTATGAATATACTTTTATAACACACTCATAAGCCCTGTTCGTTTGTTTTATAATCCGAACTTTTCAGCTTGTTTTTTAGTAGGAACGATATTTTTCTCTCACAACAAATCAGCCAACAGAATTTTCAGTCATGGCTTATCAGCCAAGTGAACGGGACCATAAATATTGTTATTTTTATCTATAAAGTTGTTCAAAAAGTCACATCAAGAGATTATACTAATACTTATGTTACGTACCGTCTTGTGCTCTGTCAAAATTGAGTACTTAGCACCGTGCCTCAAAAACAATTTGAGTAGCACCGTCTTGATATTGCTGTTTTCAAACCAAAAAGGTCAAACGGCAAAGTACGGCAAAGGAAAAGTAGGGCATGTTGGGTTCTCTAGTTTATGGACTAAAGGTTTAGTATATTTTAGTTCATGAACTAAAAGTTGATTGAAGTGGTGTTTGATTCCTTAAATAAAATGGACTAAAGTCATTAAATGATGTGGAAGAAAGATCTTTTTATCCACTCTTTTACCCTGGAAGAGAGAGGATAATAAATGAGGGGCATAGGTGTCCCCAACCTCTTTTAATCTATTTTAGTTCAGTTTCATGGACTAAAGAACTTTAGTCCACTTTTAATTCAAATATTTGACTGTTTAGTTCAACTAAAATACAGATTTTAATCAAAATGTTTTAGTCCGTGGCACCAAAACACCGCCCAGTACGAAAAAAAGTCAAACGGCAAAGTACGGCAACTTACGCAGAAAGAGAGAGAGAGAGAGAGAGAGAGTTACCCAAAAGAGAGAGAGAGAAACAGGAAAGTAGTGCGGTGCATCCTGTTGAGTTGTTGAGGCGAAGAAGCATCAGCAGCTGCCCATGGCTGGCATAGAAGGGATGGTCGTCTCGGCGGTCGTGAAGCAGGCCATCCGGGGTCTCGCGGCGGCCGCCGGGAGCCCGATGGCAAAGCTGTGGGGGAGCTGCAAGAAAGACCTGGAGGAGATGCGGGGTACCCTTACTCTGCTTGAGGCCGCCCTAAGGGACGCCGAGCGACGGTCCGGGGCCGAGGAGGCGGTGCGCGTGTGGCTGCGGCAGCTCAAGGCCGTCGCGCGCGAAATCTCCGCAGCTCTCGACAAAGCCCCGCCGTCGCCGTGGAAGGTGAGGTGTTGCTGTGCGATAACACCGTATTCATTATTTTCTTTCTGAATTCGGAATAATATGATATGATTCCAGAAAACTTGTTAAACGTCCCGATTAATTTGGGTAAACTAAACGAAGCTACGCAAGCCTTGAACCTTGATTACTGCCCTGCATTTCCATATACATGTTAATTCGTCCTGATACCCTGAGAAAGCAATTCGATTTATAAGGTCGGATGCAAGTGGCACCACCACTAGCCAAGAAACTCACTTCGCATATGAACTAGAAGCAAAATTGCTATGATCTGTGTAGATGTCATTTATTGAATCCATAGGCAGTGAAAATGGTTGCTCCTTGACAGCTTGACTCCTTGTGCTCTGTTCTGTTCCGTACCTCTATGTTGTATCTGATGTTTCCACTTTCCAGGAAATACAACTTACGTGCGCTGATAGTGATCATTTGAATTTGCAACAGGTTTTTGCAAAACTTAGTTTAGTTAACAAGATAGACGAGCTTAAGAAGAAGCTAAAGTCACTGGAAGAGAACCGCTGTATGTTGGGGTTCAGTTTGCATAATAACGGAAGCATTGAGGACGTGATAGCGAAGAGGGAAACAGTAGCATGTATGGACGATGGATTCACTGTCATTGGACGATCAGGAGAGAATGATGAGATGATAAGGCTTCTATTAGGGTCTGAAGAAAACCTGGCTATTATTTCTATTGTTGGCCTTGGAGGCATAGGTAAGACCACTTTAGCAAAATTGGTCTTCAATGACAGCAGAATGCAAGATTTTGACAGGAAGGCATGGATCCATGTCTCCCAAAGGTTTGATTTGGGAAGAATAGGAAAAGCTGTTATATCACAATTTGAAGGTACTGCTGCTACCTTTGATGATCTGCAGTCTCTGTATAATCAGATAGAAAACCTTTGTAGCGGCAAAAGGTGCTTAGTTGTGTTGGATGACCTGTGGGAGAGTAACATTGAGATGTTGCACAAACTGAAACTGTTGCTAAGATGTGGAAAGAATGGGAGTTTGGTTAAGGTCATTGTGACAACACGTAATGAAGAAATTGCTCAGGAAATGTCGACGTTTGGCCCATATAAATTGGGACCTTTGTCCGATGATAGCTGCTGGACTATATTCAGACAAGTTGCTTTCCAACGGACACATGAAGAAAATTCGCATGCACTAGAAGCTGTTGGAAGGGACATTGCTAAAAAATGCAAAGGTTTACCCTTGGCAGCTCATGCTGTTGGATCCATGCTTCGCAATAGGACTGTTGATTTCTGGAAAGCTACTAGAGATAACAATGCTTGGGATCAATACTCATCTCACGAAGATGTCTTGCCATCATTGAGGTTGAGCTATGACCATATGCCATCTTATTTAAAACCATGCTTTGCCTACTGTGCCGTCTTCCAAAAAGGTTCTGCCATAGACAAGAACAAATTAATTCAACAATGGATTGCTCTTGGCTTTATTAAGCCATCCCTACCAGATTTGTCTTACAGAGTTCAGGCCGAGGAATATTTGAGAGATATTTTGGCAACATCTCTTCTTCAAAAGAAAGCATCTTCCTTGGTGAGTTTGTGTATACTAATATATTATTTAGAGCATTTTTTAGCATACCTTTGATATTTTAGTAAATTATTTATGATTGATGAGATAATATTGAAATAGTACATATACTCATCCATAGTGGTACATAAATTATCAGCTATTTTAAAAGGTCAAAGACTGTAAATTATGTAATGTGCAAAATCCATGGCTAGTAGATCTCACATACACTAAAGCAAACATGCTTTGTTCATTTTTTCATGCATATACGCGGGAGATTGCTTACACTAACACAAATGTTACTACTCTGTAGGTTCATGTGTATGCCAAAACTTCACAACATCTCATCATGCATGACTTAGTGCATGACTTGGCACGATCAGTTGCTGGTGATGAAACACTTTTTCTTGATTGTACAAAGCCAAACAACTTACTCACTGACAACTGCCATCATGCTGTTGTGGTGAGATATGATAAAAGGCTTTCCAAGTCCTTGCCTGCTCAAGTAAGGTCACTACATTTCAGAGACTCTGGTGGAATGTGGAAGAAAACTCCCTGCCTCCCTGTTCCTGGTGATGCATTCTCATTAACCAAAAACTTAAATGTCTTGGATATAACGGGATGTGATTTGAGGAAGTTGTCAGATCCAATTCGTCAGTTAGCCCATTTGAGGTACCTTGATGCTTCACTATTGCCTGACAAAGATCTTCCCGTGTGGATTACTAGTCTCCTGAAACTACACTATTTGAGCATCCATGGGTCTTCTAAAATGTCGAAGTTCCCTGAGTCAATCAGCAAGCTCAAAGAATTGACACATCTGGACTTATCATGTTGTGGAAACCTTGCCTACTTACCAGATATTTTCTCCAACCTTACAAATCTCTCTTTATTGAACCTAGCAGATTGTACTAGCCTTTCTGCATTACCTAATTCCATATGTGACCTTGTGAATTTAGAGATCCTAAACCTTTCAGGTTGTGTCCTGGAAGAATTACCTCAAACTATGGGAAATCTGCACAAGCTACGGCTACTGCACCTATCCAGATGTTCAAAGCTTCGCTTCTTGCCTGATTCCATCAGTAATCTTGTGTCCTTAGACAAGTTAGACCTATCGTATTGTTCTGTTTTGCAAGAGCTACCAAAATCCTTTGGTGACCTTGAGGAACTAAGGTTTTTGGAATTATCACACTGTTCAAGTCTTGTAAGATTACCTAATTCAGTTGGTAATCTCACAAAATTGCAGCATCTGAACTTAGAAGGCTTCATATGTTCCACATCATTGCACCCCACCGATCTACTCTCCTACTTTAACATGCTATTTCGAGTCCTATGTAAACTATCCAACCTTGAATACTTAAACTTGTCAGCATGTCCTGTTTCTACTCTTTCTGAATCTCTTGGCAATCTCAAAATGCTCCGCACATTAGACATCTCGCGTTGCATTTCTCTAAGAAAATTACCTCAAACCATTCTCAAGTTACCAAATCTTGAGTCTTTAGTTGTGAGAGGCTGCTTTCCACGCATTGAAGAGCAAATCTAGGAATCATCATTGGCCAATGGTTTGCTGTCACTGCCAAAATTTTTCGTATGTACCATGCCTGGTGGTATGTCTAGCAACATCTTGCAACTTGAGGGAGTAAATCATGGAGAGCTTGAGATAAAATTTCTTGAAAATGTCGCAAGTTTAGAAGAAGTGAAGAAAGTCAACTTGGCATTTAAGTCAAGGCTCTCCAAATTGTTTCTATCTTGGACTGGCAGTGTTAACGACCATCTTTTGGATGACGAATCTTTGCTCAGGGAGCTTGTACCCCCAACCACTTTGGAGCAGTTTATTCTCCAAGGCTACATGGGTATCAGATTTCCTAGTTGGACTGGCTCTGCTACATATCTTGCAAATCTTTCCCGAATTGAGCTGCTAAATTTGCCAAGATGCACACAGCTACCATCACTTGGTCAGTTGCCTAACTTACAAGAATTGTCCCTCCGAGCACTGCAAAACATCAATAAGTTGGATGAGGATTTCTGTGGTGGCAGTCCAGCATTTTCAAAGTTAACAAAATTTACTGTCCAGGACATGAACAATCTAGAAATATGGAACACTACAGTATCAATACCCCATGATGATACTAGGGGAAACTTCATGTTCCCCAACCTTCACAAGTTGTTGATACATGGATGCAACAAGCTGAGGGTGAAACCATGCCCACCTGCTACCGTGGAATGGGTCATAGAGGCTAATGACTTAATTGTATCATCATGGACTGTGGGAGGGCGTGCGAGGATTTGCTTCAGTCCAGCAGTAACTTGTTTAGAAATCTCAGATTGCCATGTCCATCCTGACGATTGGAGGTTGCTCAACCATCTACCCGGCCTTCGCAAGCTGAGGATCCGCATGTGCAATAAGCTGACAAGCCTACCAGCAAGTGCTGAAGGCCTCACCTCCCTTCACTCTCTACTTGTTTTTGCATGCCATGGATTGACAGAACTGCCGGAATGGCTAGGCAGTCTCACCTCGCTCCAAGAACTGGAAATCAACTACTGCCCGAAGCTCAAGTCCTTGCAGCAGAGCATGAGGCACCTTGCCTCCCTCAGATTGCTGCACCTAGGTCACTGCGACGGCATGTCGGAGCTGCCAGAGTGGTTGGGTGACCTCACCTCTCTTCGGAGACTTGACATCTGGGGATGCCAGAGAATCAAGAGTTTGCCACAGTGCGTGCAGCACCTCGCGATGCTGAAGGAGGTACAAATCAAGCATAACCCTGAACTGAAGCAGTGGTGTGAATTCTTTTTAGAAGGAAAAGAAATAGTCTGATTCAAATGGCAGCCAAACAAATCTTGCTGATGTAGTGGGCGTGTATGCGGTGTCGTGTTGAGTTGTGGTGTGGTGTTCCGTTTTTCATACCTTTTGAGCTCTTTTGCTCTTCCCGGCACGTTCGAGAAAAAAAAACTCGCTGCCAATGAAGAAACGAACGATATCTTCAGGACTGTTGCCTATGGCCTCACTCTTCACCGCACCTGACCTGCTGCATTGACTGTCTACACTGATCCATGTGCAATAAAATATCTCAATAAATCTCAAAGGCCCATATATTTATTTACTAATGGGCTTTAATGATTATTTAGACCCATTAGTAAAGGTGGAGGGTTCAACATTAATTAGTATCATATTCCTAGTTGATATAGATGTGAGGAGTTCTCCTCTCTATATATTTGTACCAACTCCTTGGTCAAAGCAGAAGGGGAGCCTTGGCGCAGTGGTAAAGCTGCTGCCTTGTGACCATGAGGTCACGGGTTCAAGTCGTGGAAACAGCCTCTTGCAGAAATGCAGGGAAAGGCTGCGTACAAAAGACCCAAGTGGTCGGACCCTTCCCCTGACCCTGCGCAAGCAGGAGCTACGTGCACTGGGGCTGCCTGCCCCTTGGTCAAAGCACATCAGAATTACCGTAAGGGGAGCCCTAGTTTGGGAATTCCTAAGATAACAAATTAGATTTTTTTCTCCTTTCTTTTCTATGTCGTTTCCAATGTCTCGCCTGTTCCACCAACGGTCGGCCTCCCCCAACCCCCTGCAACCAAGCTCCCTCCCTCTTGTTACTGTTGAAAGGTCACGTGAGATGGATGGAGGAAGAAGACGAGGTAATTACATAATTGTCATTGGTTCATAATATCTCCGCCGTTTCTTCGTTTTAATTTCGTTTTATTTCGTTTAAGTCGCGTTAGGTTTGTTTTGACGTGATCTATAAGTTAGTAGCGACGTTCACATGTTTTTCAATATATTGTTAAATACTAAATTGATTAATACACATGTAACTAGTTTCTAATTAAAAAGCAATGTAGCTGTTAAACTTCTATATTTCGTACATAAAAGTTAATATGATTAATTGTAAACTTAAATGTGTTTTAATTATACTTAGTTTAAACTCGTTTAGTGTTTTCACATGCACTTTTCTTTTTGTAAATTTAAAGTTTAATTGGATTAAATGATACATGCATGTTTATGAATCAAATATGATTAGTCTAACCTGGCTTTTAGAATTAAAATATATTTTATCTAATCTGAATTAATATGCTTCACATGGTTTTGCTCAATTAAAATAAATCAAGCATGTAGGCTTTTCTTTTCGTTGGTAATATAAAACTCCCGGTAGTCTTTTCTTTTAACTGTAGCTCTGTTCTAGTTGTTACTTGTGACGTTGTGTCTGTGCCGACCAATGCTACGTGTTAGCAGTGACGTTTAACATGTCTCATATCTCGAAATTTTATAAGTTAAATGTTAATTTGTTTAATGGTTATGCAACCAGGTTTATAATTAAAAGCCACTTAGGTGAATACATCGGTCTTTCATAAATCACTATCAATATGATTAATATCGACATTAATACCTTTTTAATTTATAACATGCTTAGTTCGACTTTAAAACATGATGCTTTTGTTTAATTTTTGTCACATGTCCTTTAATCTTTTTAGTTAAATGTTTAAATGACTTAAATGATATGAGATATTTTTATAAATAAAATATAATTAGCTTTAACTCGACTTTTGAAACTGAATATGTTCTGAGTAACCTGAGTTGATACTACTCACATAGTTTTTTTTAATTAACATGAATCAAGCTCGTAGATGTTTCTTTTGTAATATATAAAATTGTTCTATAGTCATTTCTTCTTTATGATAGTTCCATTACGTTTCTTGTGTTCTCGACCATCGTAACGAGCTCTCTTTAGTATGTTGTTTTGTCTCGTGTGGTGTACTGCTCTTAGTTGTCTCACTACACCACAACACCGCATCACCGTCAGACATCTGACCCTAAAAATTATATTTATCGATGGATGATCTGACGTTAAAGATAACTCACAGACTATCTGTCGCTAATTCCTCATTTAGCGATTTATTTTCTGTCGCTATAGATATTGATATTTAACGTTGAACTGTCTGTCGCTAAAAATAAGTATACCGGCACTCTGTCTGTCGCCAAAAATAAGTGGGCCCCACCACGCCGCTTACATTGAGCTCACGCGCAAATTTTGGCCCGGCACGTGTACAATGAAAATCCCCAAATCCCAAATCCAGTGAAGCACCACTGCCAGTTCATCCTCTCCCGCCGCGCGCCATCGTTGTCTTAGCAGGCCAGGGCGCCAGGGTGGTCATCGGGCCCTCCCCAGCGTCTCGCTCTCTCCCTCGGTCTTCTTCTCCCCAGCGTGCGCTCTCTTCTCGCGCCTCCTCCGAAAGCGCCAACGTCGGCTCCCTCCGCATCCTCCTCACCTGCGCAGGGCCCTACTCACCCCCCCCTCCCCGGCTCCTTGCGGTAGGGGGCAGGCCCGGATGGGGCGACCGAGAGCCGCGCGCCATGGCCCTCTAGCCGGCTGGCCAGCCGCCGTTCCCGTCGTCCCAGTGGGCAAAAGCCGGGTCAAGGTTGAAGCAGCGTCGCCCATCGGTCATCTGCAGCAGCAGCAGCTCAACACCACACTCGTCCCGGCCCAGGATGGGCCTGGATGCGGGCTCGATCCATGTCGTCTCCGTCCGATCTACGTCATCCAGTTGTTCTAGTTGTTCCTCCATCCCGCGCGGTCTGCAGATCTGATATGCATGTCCACGGTGAGCCGTTTTCTGCCTCAGATGTGTGTGCATATGTTCCTATGGATGAGTATTGTGTATGTATGGAGGTTTAGGTGCTGTGTTTAGAAGATCTAGGGTTAGAGTTATGTGTGTGTGTATTTATGTTATGATCTACGCTGAAAATTCTGTGTTATTTGACAATACAGTGTGATAAGGAATAATAGTCACACTGCCATTCTCTAGAATTAGTAAATTGGCAATGCAGTATGGTTCAAATCAACAGCTTAGATGTTTTCAGAACAGCAGACCATGTCAGACCTGTTAGACTGAACAATATTGCTAAATTTAAATGAAAAAATAGCGAATTAATGTTTAAAGTAATTGTCCCAAAACCTTTGTTATCTAAGTAATTGCATTCCAAGATTGGTCTTCTCTGTTCTTTCTCACAGTTCAGAGGTTGCATGCAGTCATATGGTTGTCTTCTTGTCATTTGCAAACCAGAATTGTCTTCTTGACTTACAATCCATTGTCTTTTTAGATGCACAAGATCCTGTATTGTAATTGTCAATGGTTACTTTTACCTTTTGCTTTATGTTTTTCTCTCTCGTACTTAGACGATATGTGCTTTCTTAAGTGTCTTTTGGAATTAGACATTGTTTCCCAATAGCTAATCTGCGTATTGATGTCTGACAATGATGCGTAGACTACTCTTGCTGCTTCTTATTGCCAGCAAACTCAAGCAGTTAGGTTAGGTTCTGAATAGTGTCAATAATGTTTAATGATAGTACCTTGAAAAGTTAGTACTGTTGTTGCTAGGAGCTTCTAATAGTTCTTATTATAAAATGAGTTCTTATTGGGAAAGCCTTTTGTATATCAGCAGGCTGCAGGCACCTTGGCTGACGGCTGATGCTCATGAATTTTCAGGAACCAGGAGGCCTACTAATCCTTCATCAACTTGTTCTAATGGCTTTGCTGTTCAAGATACCTTTCTTGTGAAATCGAGTTTAATACTGAAACCTACATTGACGTTGGATGTAAACGGGACGAGGTAGAAAAACTGAATTTTTGACCTGGGGGAACTGTTATCTTAATTCAAATTGCATGGAACTCTGCTAGTCTCACTGCAAAGATGTACTGTTGGGTGGACCTGTCAAAAGTGAAAAAGTGTCGTTTGTCCTTATCGCAATAGATGCATGTGCCTTTTTTTCTCTTACTTTGCGTTATTCTATCAGGAACTTCTGTGTCATTTGCTGGCGGCACCCAGCACAGTAACATAGGCATAATGTTTCTTCAAATTTCATAGCTGTGCATTATTACCTGTGACCTCAATTTACATATTATGGTCTTTGTCTTTGCAGACTTGTTTCTGAACTGATATTTTGTTCTTGTAAAGGATATTAGGGGTGATGACATAAAACTGAGTGAGTATGCTGGAAAGGTTCTTCTTATCGTCAATGTTGCTTCAAAATGGTAACTTTTGAAACTGAACTTTGTTATTTAACATTGCAATCTAGCCTACATCAGATCATATTAAACATTTAAAAAAATATATATATCAATGGTCTTCTCATGAAAATGGATGTCCCTTTCTCCAGGTTTTAATTTATTCATTTGAGCGAAAATCATATAGATTGTTAACCTTTAGAGAGTTGAAATGAATACTATATCCTCCAAGGTTATTCATCATGCTATATCTATTTTCCTTAACTTGATAGGATAGAGTTATCTTGCATCTGTCTTGAACTCAACTTGTACTATGAATTTGAGTTGCTGTACAGTATAGATAATTCAGCTATAACTGAGAGCCAATGGCTTATGTGTGGGCCTTTCAGGAAGGTGAATCTGGCATTTTATATTTGTACATGTTTTCCCCTGTTCAATTCATAGTTGTAAGATTGAATGAAGATGCCTCAAAAAATAGATGCTAGAGCAATGTTTTATTTTATTTCACAGTTGAAACATATGTGGAACTTGTGGTTCATTGGTTTTACTTATTATGTAGTGGGCTAACAAGTTCCAATTACAAAGAGCTAAATGTCTCGTATGAGAAGTACAGAGAGAAAGGTTTGTTCTTTGACTATAGGGTTCTCATGCAGAATCATACCTGAAATAATATGAAACTATATCTTGAGTCCTGATTAGATGTGAGGGTATTCAATAATGGAGTTGTAAGAGTAAGCAAATAGTTTAGACTCCCATCAAAAAGACATTACCTTGAGTCCTGATTAGATGTGAGAAGCCTGTGAATGCTAGGATTAA